GACGTCGCGCATGCGCAATCCCATGGGAGAAACTCCGGCCAAGGCGATTGCCGCGCCGACACCGGGTCGTACGTACCCGGGTTCATCCTACCCGAGCTGTGTGGGTCTGAGCAAAGGTCTGGGGGAGCCGCCGCTCCTCCTCCTCCCCGGCAGAGCGGAGCTGGCGGCAGCTCCGGGCCCCTGGGATGGACCCAGCTGCTTGAAATGCTTTAGGACAAACCAGCATACGCCCAAAATGTTAAGCCTACGTGATTTCCCCGGCTTTAGCAAACCAAACCTGTGTGCTGGCAGGACACGGGGGTTTGAGGAGAGTCAGGCTGCTGAGCAGAAGCAGCCGCTGAGCAAAGATTACGGGGAGAAACGAGTTATCTGGAGAAACGAGTTGTTTTTGAGGGCCGGGATGTTTTCTGCAGGTTGTTTTTGTGCTGTTGGGCGAGCTCAGATCCCTCCCATCCCCACCGGACCGAAGCCAGCCAAGGCCACGAGCATCCCTGGCTCCCTCCACTTTCGCCCGGCCGGCTCCGGCTGCGCCGAGCTAATTCGGGACAGGGCTTCGGCTCCTTTTCAGAGCCGTGACTACGCACGAGGCAGGAGGAGACAAGACCTTCTGGCTGCTGCAGGGTCTGGAAGGACGCGGGAACCAGAAGTGAGCCTCAGCTCGTTAAATCCGGAGGAGACTTCCTTTATCCGATCAATCCCTCCTCTCTAAGCGCAAAGCGCTGCATGTTATAAACCACATGTAAGGTGCCTTTCTTAATAAAGCTTTTTTAAATGCTATTTTTTTGTGCATTTAATTAACCCGTTTCCACCCAAGCACGGCCGGGGACACAGCAAGAACAAGATCTCACGGGTACGGAGATGTGAACGCCAACCTCTGGCTCCCCGACCACGCAGGGAATCGCATTTTCATATCAAAGCATCCGTCTCACCCCGAAAACACCAAAACCTGAAGCGGGGAGGGCTGGCCTGGCTTCAAGTCAAGTGCCATGTGCCCCTTCAGCTTGGATTTTTGCATAAAACAAGCAAAAACCCTGCTTGAGAGACAGAAAAATAATGCTGTGACACCCCGAAACCCTACGCAAACCGGGGGACACGGAGCCGTGGATCCAGCCACGCGCTCCGTGGATCGGCATCGCTGGGAAGGCTCCTGGAAAAGGCTGGATAACGGGAAAATCCTCACAGCGTCCGGGCTGAGCCCAAGCAGGCAGGGTTGTAGGTGCTCCCCAAAAACAAGGGAGGTTTTAACGCCTGCCTCTACTTGTGCTTGCCGCTTTCCCAAGCGCTGGCGGGGAACAGCACCGCTGCCCACGGTGCGAGCAGAAACCGGGGAGACTCGGCTGCCTGGAGCTGCCAAGAAAGCCCAATTATCCTAATTTCAAGAGAAAAATGCAAATTTCAGAGGTTGAATCCTGCTGGAGCAGCTGCCTTACGCATCCCCTGCAACAAGTCTCCTTTGTGACTCCTCAGGTTCTGGTTAATCTGAGTTAGGTTCTTTGAACTGTAAAACGAGGGGTTTAATCAAAAAACATAAAGGCGGAGGGCAGGGGGTCAGCTCAGCCTGGCAGCTCCACAAAGTGACCCAAAACCCACCGAATTACCCAGATCTGAAGGGTCACTGCTGGGGTCTCTGAGCCAGGAGAGAGTGAGGGGAAAAGGGGCGGCTGAAGGAGGGCGGTTTGGGACATCCCAGTAGAAAATGGGGGGGGAAAAAAAAATAATCTGAGTTCAGACAGGGGTTTCTCACTCCGGCCTTGGGTCACCTTCCCAAAACGGGCGGGTTTCCCCCCAAGCCAACAGCACGCCAGACCCCCCAGCTCCTCCTCGCTACAGCCCCGGTGCCACCCACAGCATCGTGCCCCAGGCAGGAACTGGGGCCGAAAGGAGCATTTCCCGAAAACCAGGGACGAGCAGCAGGAGCTGGGAGTCTGTGCACAGCATGCGGCAGGAATCCAGTTCTCTGCCACTACAGAAAGGAAACAACCTCAGTGCTTGCCAGGAACCAAGCGAGGCTTTAACCCCCCAAACCTGCACGCGTGTGCTTGCTAAAACCCTATAAAACACCTTTTTTTGCCTTTTCTGCCTGCATTTCCCAGCTGTCCTGGCAGCTGTTTGTCCCCACAAACCTCGTGGTCCTTTAACCAGCGGAGGAGAAACAGGGGACAGCTGAATAACGAAGCGGGCTTCGTTAGGGAACAGGCCAGGCTGCCAGCGACGTCACTTACCGGCCCGTCGCCGCTTGAGGGTGACGTAGGGCAGCAGGTCGTGACGAGTGATGATCCGCAGCAACTGCAGCACTTGTCGGAAGTTGGTCTCGTCGCAGAGGCCCTGCCGCTCAAGAGCCAGCAAGAAGTCCCTGCCGCTGCGGATCATCCCCCTCTCGTAATCGTCGATCACGTCCACGAAGAGGAAGGAGAGCACCCGCACATCCCGGTGGGTCAGGTGGGTGCCCACGATGTCAAACATACGGTGCAGGCTGTACAGCCCGTGCTCCCGGTCGCCCCGTTCCTCCGGCCAGGCTTGCGCTCGGCTCCGTTTGAAGGCAGCCATCTTCCACC